CCAAGTGACAGTATAGATGAGGAGGGACTCCAAGCTCCTTGCATTTGGCCATAGCAGAAGCACATTGAAGTACATAAGTTGTTCCTTTAATTTGAACGGAAGATATGGTTCCCATTACAGATCTGTCTGAAAGATTTCCAGGGAAGGGAGAAATCCTCCGGGAAGGGTTTCAATCATGATGAACAGAGGCTGAAACAATGTGAAGCGGACAATGGCTGCGGAACAGATCAGGGCACCAAACAATAGTGAAATGAGACAAATGAACTTTCCTTTTTCCAAATGCAAAATCTACCCAGAAACAGAATCTCTGTACCTTCTTAGCTGGCTCACCTACAGGCACAGCTAGCAGGGGTGCAGAACCTGGCAGAAGCAGAGTCAGCAAAACGGAGAGAAAACAAGCTCCTCATCAGCTCATAGAATCGTTATGGTTCGAAGAGACCTCAAAGCTCATCAAGTCCAATCGTCCACCCAACACCACCATGCCCACTAAACTATGTCTCGAAGCGCCATGTCTAAATGTTTTTTGAACGCCACAGATAGCACGGGGTCAAAAATGACTAAATCCTTGATTGGATTGAGATAGCTTACACAAGCTCCCAGGAGCTTTTTTGACAAGGTAGAGCACAGAAGAGGTAACTTCACATCAAAACAAAAGGGCTGTTTTGGCAGGTGGCCTGCAGCATACAGCTGTCCCTGTCAGCTGTCCCACCTGCTCAGGCAGCCTGCCATCGCCTTAGGGGTAAAGCATCCGCAGAAGGACAAATGAAGGAAGAAGTGGGTGGCATCAAGTCCCCTCCTTCCCCACTTCAAACTTGTTCTCTTGCCTGAGCTGGTCACCCACACCTCTGTGGCTGTAACATACTCCTAAGCTTTGGTGAGACCAGGTGCAAAGAGAAGTTCTTCATCTAAGCACGCTATCGAAATAACACCTTGAACTCTTGCTGCTGCTGACAGTTCCTTTAATGCTGCTCTATTTCCAGACATCTTTCTTCAGAAGGTGATTCAGCTTTTCCTTTCTTGGGCATTCTTATCATGTTGTGTGCCTGCTGGGCTGTCTTCAGCTCTCGTGAACACAACCAGGCTTTTTTTTTTTTCTTCTTTCTCCTGACAGCAGCAAGGGGGCTGCTGAATGCAAAACAGTCTCCTCTGAGAATTCCCTCGCTAGGGCCTTCTGATGATGGGCCAGAGATGTGTTACTTGTATGACTTGATTAACTTGTTAACTGAGATGTCTTCTTAAGGAAAACCTCGCAGAAGCAATATGCGCTCAGTCAACATAAGCCCAAAACAGAATCAAGAATCTAAGAGCTACATCCGCTACATCCAAGGACTAATTTCAAGAGGGTCTTTCATTAAGGAATCCCCTTAAAAAATGCAACTACTTCAGAAAGACATGTGAAGAGGCCATAGAAAAGGTAACTCAGCCAGCACCAGTAGTGTCATAGCCCCCTCTGAATTGCCAGACAAATGTTCTCTCTTGTATTGGATGGACATTTCCTGAAATGTCCATGTAATTTTTTCTCCCATACATTTGCTCTCAAAGTTCTGTCTTCCAACTATATCCTGCAAGGAGGCACAGAGGAACAGCTTGTTCCCTTGATCTCATCTTGGTTCTGCCTAGCTGATGGTTATCGCTCCTTCAACTTCGCCTCACTAATTTTGCCAAAAGCATTGCCTCCTGACGTAAAGTGCTATCACAGGTCTTACTTTTCTGCACATCAGACGTGGAATCATTGAAGCAATGGTTCTGAGGTTCGCAAAGTAGCCTAAATCATCTCTTCTTCCCAAACTGTGTATCTTACCAGCCATCCAACCCCCTTCGGTTTTAACAGGGTTTCTGCATCCAGGCCTTGCCACACCGAGACTGATGGTTAGGAAGGTGGCAGTGGTTTGGTTGCTCCACTGAGACTGTCAGTAATTCAAATTAAATTGGACTTTGGTTAGGTGGGTAATTCATCATTTGCAGTGTGACAACAATACCTGTAATTACTGCTCTTATTGTTGCGGCTGAAATTCATGTGCAATAAAGGGATCTTAATATCATGCCAAACCTCACAGTTAATTTAGGTTCCATCTCCTTTCATTTATTCTGTAATAAGCTAATTAGTTCACATAATTTGCCATTGAACATGCCTTTGTAACAAATGCATACATGAATTAGCCTATTACACAACAAATGAGGGGAATCAAAACATGAATCATTTGCAGGATTACATAAGGAATTATTATCCTTTCCGGCACCCATAGATGCAGCCATCTTCTTTATTACTTTAAGATTTTTTTAATTTGCACTAGGTTGGTTCTCCTGTCTGATGCCTCTTACTCTTCTACTTGGAAGGCTGACAACGCATTTCACCATTTGATATGCCCCGCTGCCACGTGCCAGGCTGCTTCCAAGTTCAGGATCACTACCATGAAGTTAAATGTCTTTCAGCTTGGCTGCTTAAATCCACATTCTGGCAGTTGAAAGAGCTTGGCCATACTGCTAGCCTCCTGCCTTGGTGCACCATTCGCAAGGATGTTTTGGAGTAGAGATCTTCAGATTTCCCTGTCAAAGTCTGCTTTTGGTTTTGTTTGTTTGCAGTCTGCACAGTATCGAACTGTGCCCTTGGAAACTTCTGGGCATGACTTGCAGTCACTGCACTTGGAAGCTTCCTTCCACGTCTCACCTGTGGGGCTCATTTCACCAACCTCCTTTCTGACAGCCCTTAAACCATGCTACATTTCCAACTCATTCGGGATAAATCATGAGGGGTGCTCTATCCAGCTGAGTCCTAAGATTGCCATTTTGTAAACTGGAGCCTTGCCAGACCTTGAGGTTCAGTCCACCATTACAAGTCTTGCTAAATACCATGTACTATTCCCCAGAAGGGATCAGGACATTTGGACCAGTCTCATCCAGAACACAGCAGAGTGCTTTCTGTGCAGTAATTCAATACCAATTCACAGGGAAGCTCCTGAGCTACTAAAACCATCAGTTCTACTTTCTGCACTATTTACTTTGAGGCCTCATCTAACTGCTGACCTGGTGCTACCCAGTTTCAACTATTAAATGTAGCGAGATCAGAACTCAATAGCTTTATTTGTTAAATGTTCTCTGCTTACAGCAGTTGTTTTGATTTAGCATCCCACCTCTTGCAGTAATGATTTACTCTTTCTGTATTAAAGTTAAGCAACCACCTTACTCCCAACAGCTGCTTCTTTACCTGGAATTATATTCTTTTCAGCTTCTAAAAGTGAGTCCTTACTTCTAAAAGGAATAAAGATGTAAGAAGACTTTTTGGTTGGAAATACTCTTTAGCATTTGGATGGCCTAAGCAGCACTAAAACCAATCATAAACCTCCTGGCAGCTGCCAAAATGATCTATGGATACAATATCCAACTTTGGCAGACACTCTGCTCTGCCCAAAGGAATCGGTTGAAACCCCTGCTGTGGCTGGTGTGTTCTTCCTGGGTTAAACCCGTACATTTTCAGGCTGAGGAAATGAAATACCGACATAAAATGAGAACTTGCAGCCTGCTAAAAGGTTCTGGAAGTAAAAAGGAAGCCGGAGCCCTCGAGAAGCACCTGCTCATTCCCAGCGCACTAGCACAGGCACTCTGCAATGCGTTGCCCTCTGCCCTTTCTCTGGCAAGCACATTGCTGACCCGTGGTGGGAGCCAGACAGGACCTCCCGGGCACATCCATCAAGCTCTGTCAAAAAACGATGCAAGAGCAGAAAAGGAAAATGCAAGTGCAGCCAGAGACCTATCTACTGTTCTCGCTTCAATTTCCCTCTTTCCTTTATGCAACACTCACTGCCAGTCAGGAATATTCAAAATTACTACGGCAACTCCTCTCTTAATCAAAGCATTTCGAAAAAACCATAGCCTAGTAGAGACTTGGGATCTGTCTGAACCCTTCTGGATTTGGTTTTAAGCCTCTGACACCAGCAGCAGTGTGATTCAAGGTGTGCTACGGGGACAACATGAGAGCAAACAAGAAGCTCAGAGCAAGGAATCGCCCCTTTACAACTCCCAGATGAAAACTGAAAGTTATTAAGTTCATATTACAATATGAAACTAGAAGGAAATTCATAAATGAAATTTAGAGCTCTGAATGAGTAATTATTCATCATTAACAAAACTAAAAGGAGGTTTCTTTTCTCTTTTAGGAATTGATGTCACCTACACTTCAGGAGGACTAAATAAAACAGGACATCTAGCCAAAAGCATAAAGAAACTTGTATTAAAAACAGAAAGTGCGAATTAAAAATGGAAAACAGTACATGGATCATTTAAAATAGGATAGTCCTAAGAGACCACAGCCTCCGGACTGTGTAGATGAGCGACCCAGTGTTCCAGAGCTACAAATGCTTTGAAAATGCTTCAGTTGCTGAAGTGTTTTTGTCACCTGTAAAGGCTCTCCCAGTCTGAGCTAGAAGTACTTCACTTCTCTTGTGAAGAGCTGTATACGTTTGGATCAAGAGAGGCTCAAATTCCCTGTGAGTAGTACCTCTTCACAGGCATTCTAGCCGACACGGATTTTTTTCCTCCCTCCAGCATACCACGCTAACCAGTATAACCCTGTAATTCTAGAATCAAGCCCAAGCCATGCCATCAAGCTAGTTCCTACGTTTTAGAATGATATTAAGTCTTGCTTAAGGACTTCATCACTCTCCATTTCCTGACACTACAGCAATAAATAAAGACCCTAACTCTCAAAAATCCCTGGGATTTATCCAGGTCAGATTTGCAGTGCTGGAACTTGCCATATTTTTGTCTGCCTCAAGAAGTATTTTCTCCCTCTTCTAAAACGCACTGACAAAATGGCTGTTCTCTCCAAATGCTCTCTTGCAACATCTGTGCAGGTTATTATCTGATTTCATTTACTCCGTGTGTCTTTATTTGCAGTTTCACACAGGTGCAAGCAAATTCCTTTCTCCTCTGATGCATCTATCAAAATCTTTCAAGCAAAAGATGACAAAACAAAACCAGAAAAATTTTTAGAAGAATCCTACCTGAAAAATAGCTATCCAGGCATATCCAATATTATCAAAATTGATAGCTCCGTTGTGTGGGTTTACGTCCCCTGCCATGCAAACGTTGTAATACTGGTTCCAGTTTATGCAGGCATTCCT